TCATGTGCGCGTTCGTGTGTGTTGGAGGAGGGGCTCTGTAAGGAAGTGGCAGAATTTTTCCGGCTGTGTATTTTCAAATTCTAGCGCACTCGAGCTGGTTTCTCCAAAATTACCTACCCCACCTTTAAGAGTGCCACAGGAATTAATGCTAAAACCTAGAAAATGTGTAAGCATGGATGTATGTCAGGTGACCTCTTCTCAAAGTCAATGGGTTTCTTGAAAGGGTTTCCTATAAAATGCCTGAACCCTAAGCATAAGAGATGTTCATGTTTTGACCTACGACAAAAATGTATGTTTGAAACTTTTCCTATCTTAAAAAAGGCTGTTTCTAACAAGTGACTTAAGCCTAGAGAGTAGCCTGGAGGACATTATACACCTACAGATCAGCACTTCTCTGCTCTCTGTTGGTTTAATGCTTAGTTTCCCATGTGCAATGTTGTCATATAAACAAGAGTTATTTGTTTAGTACAGTGAGTCAGATAAAGGTAGCACCCTCCCACTCACAGTCCTCTGGATGATGTCGACTGCACCGCTGCTGCTGCTGCTGCCGTCGGTGCTGTTGTAGTTTGTCACAGCGTTGTCATAGGCAACACCTATCTTGGCCTTGATCTGTTCAACACAAAACAAAGGTTATATATTCCGGTGAGCTGATGTGATTTCATTTTCTTTACAAGAAAGGTAATGTTTCTGACAGTAACTGACCTCGTGTCGGAAGATAAATCCAGAGACACCGGCCACAAGCTCAGCCAGGAACACCAAGGTCAGAAACATGGCATACTAGAGGGAGCAATAAAAGGAAAATTAAGCAAGGTCACATCTGAAGGGAATATTTCAGTGAATTTACTGCACCTTCACCCACCAGTTTGAGCATCCATGGGCTGCCGCGGCATGTAGCGAAGCAGCCGAACAGTCCGAAAATAACGATGATGGCTCCGGTCCCGATGAGGACATATGGTGCATTGGTGCTCTCCTCCGAGGCCAGAGTGAAGTAGGCCTCCAGGCTCACCTTCCCCCACACGCCGACCGCCAGCAGGATCACGCCTGTGAACTGAAGACGACAGCAGGGAGTCAGCTCCGGCAGAGAAGAGCCAACGAGAAGGATGAGCAGGCTTTTATGGCCAAAACCTGACATTAAAGGCTTGAAACCACACTGGTACATGTAAGAGTTCAGTAGCATTTAAATCAAACCCTTTGAATCATTTTGAATTGTTTAAACTGTTTTTGAAAAGGTTTTACCTAAAAAAAATGGGAAGGATAAAAGATCAGCTCGATACGTAAGAGATCGAGACATATTTGTACACATTTGGAACTGGTTCCAAAATAAAACCAGTTATCAGTTATCCTACATTTTCTAAAAAGGAAAATGAATAACCAAATCTAGACCCTACCCTTACCCTGTCATGCACAAAAGTCAAAACATTAACAGGTTTCCAGTTTTTAAATGTGAGGATTTGAAACTCTTATATGGACATTTTGACACGTTGCTTTGACATTTTATAAACCAAACAGTCAAATAAACTAATTAAGACCCATCAATCATTACAGTTATCTCTTCCTATTTAAAAACCAGTGAAAACGCTCTGACATACAAATATTGAGTTTTTCTGTGTACCAAACTGATCATGCAGATAGACGAGTGATCTGTACCACGTTTGGCCAATATCAGGGACACTTTTAATTAGGAACCATGATGGGCTGAATCCATAACAACTCAGTTTCCTTCATTGATTGATTGATTTCCTTAATGTAATCAGTTTGCAGTGGACAAACTGCAGATAAAGGTTAGAGTTAGAAGAGGATGCTGGAGCTCTGACACTCAATGTGTATCCAGAGAAAACATATAACCTCAAATACTGTTCACAATCTCAGGACAGAGGCTGCAGATTTTGTATTTACCTGACAACATTTGAGTAAAACCACACCCGGGATACCCCACTAGCCTCAGCCTGAGGTTGAATAATCTCAGCATCTCTTTCCTTTACGACCACACGAGTCATTAGCCTGAAGGGAGGCATCAGTGCATTGAGCCAAGAGCAATAAATTGTCAGATAAAAGCATTGACCTGAACTTTGCAGCAGCCTGAGATGGCTGTTTGCTCGGTACAAAGATTAAAAGGGGGGAGCAACGATAACTGCTCATTTTCTTCTCAAGACAAGCTTGTGTTTAGGCTTTTCTTACATGTAATTATGGCTGAAGCTAGCATTTATTTTCACTATTGACTATTCTACCAAATATTATCATGATGAATCTTTTTTTATTAATAGGATTAGTATAAAGTAAGATTAGCTAGTTAACTAAATTGACAAAGAAAAGCATTACATGGCTGCAAGCATGTTTAGTCTGTTAACTAACAAGTTGATAAGTAGAAAATGTAATGATCTTGTATTTGCTTCTGAAATATGAGGATTTTTCACATTTTCTTTGTCTTGTGCAACAATCTATTTGAACATCTTTGAGTTTGTAATCTTGGCAAAACAAGTCCTCTGAAGGGGTCACCTTGGGCTATAGGATATTGGAAAGGATCCTGGAAAGAATGATGCAACTGTGTACTAATTTTGAAAGGAAATAAAGTGTTGATGCTAAACCTCCAATTAAAACTCCAATGGACCTTCCTGTTCTACCCTTAAAATCAGTACCAAATGACATTGTCTGTCCCACCATAGACTACAACAATTAGATCCACAGAAACATATTAATCAACAACCATTTTGATTATTTAAAAAAAGCAAACATGCAGTTGTAATGTTCCAGCATCTCAAATGTGTATATTTTACCAGAACATTTTAGGGTTACCTTCTACTTTCATGATAGTAAACAAGATTCTTGGATTGTTTCTTAGACTTTTTCTGTCTCAGATAGGCCCATTGAGAAAAAAACAGATAACATAGTGACACGTGTTGTTAGTCAGCTTTAAATGTAGCTATTTACAGAAAACGGTGTGAGTGGAACATTAAATGTTGACTGAGGTTTAACTCCTAAACATTTTCTGTTAGACAAACGTTGCACTTTAACGTATAATTAAGTTGGAATGCAGAACAACATCAATGATAGCCTACAGTGAAAACTATTACCTTTAATTTATAAAATATCACTCTCAGCCAAGTTAAAATGTAGCTAAAAACATTATTTGAGGTAAAACCAGAAATAAATCAGAATACAGAGCTAAGGGCTGTTTTCAGACAGTTGGTATCTGAACAAAACAACGGTCGCTACGTTTCCAACAAGTGGTTCTTTAAATCAACATAAACCCGCTCCACTTGAACTTTAACGACATGTACACAACTTATTGAACTCCGTGTGTGTTTGTGTGTTCCTGTCGTGATTTAAGGAGTGGAGTTAGTTCGCCTTGTTGGCACCTCGGCCGCGGCTCTTAGCCCATTGTTGCTCCTTTAGCTCCTTGGCCCCCATTACATGCAGCAGCTGCTCACCCAGAAAATGAGGCTGTAGGAGATGAGGAAGGTCTTCAGGCAGGTGATCACCGGCTTCGTCTGAAGCCTTCGAGACGGCGGCGACATGGTGCTGTTTTTACTTTAAAACTGGTAAAAAGGAGAGAAAAGTTGACTTCACAGCGCCCTACAGGGGAGAGGGGGAGAAAAAACCTTCAGGGATAAATCCGAGGAGAGGGGGAAGTGTCGTCACTAACCCAGATTCACTTTCCTGAAGGAAAAACAGCTTTAAACTATTCACAGTAAAGTCAGCAGTGATTTTCATATTCATCGACAGATCAGTCTCAAGTACAGCTTTCAAAATAAAACGCGAAAAAACTGGTTTACAAATGAAACAATAGCTTAAAAACACTACTGCATTATGGCTATTTTAAACACACACTGGAGTAGCCTAGTGGAAAAAGCACTTAGATCTTTTGCAAAAATAGTGTCATATTTTAAGATCTGACTATTTATTCCTATATTGGTCTTTGAGTGTTAATATACATTTGCATGCAGGGCTGCTGAAACACATCTCAAACACTATTTCTGAAAGGAAAAAAAGAACAGAAAAAACGTTCAACCCGATAAAAGGTTTATAAAAGCTACTCATGATATATCTAATAATGAGTTATAAGCCTTATTAGCTTTTGTTTAATGTGTTAAAGTCCAGTTACCATGCAGCCAAGTGTAAACTCGTTTTAATGTGTGCTTTTATTTTGATGAAAGCAGAACTACTTCCGGCCTCGTGCTGTCTAACTTGTTTTTTTAACATGCTTTTCCCCCTCTTGTATCAGCTGAGTAAATACAAGTTTCACATCGACGCTCATAAAATAAAAACATGTAGATTAATTGAATTGATATAAGGCTCATCATATCTTTTAAGCTTCTTGTGGGACTAGTCTAACTAGTTCTTGGTTAATTTTTAACTCCACTCTCATTGAATTGTGAAGCACTTTGAGATGACGTTGTTTTTAAAGTGTGCTATACAAATAAAAATGTATTATCAGTATTAAATGTATTATTATTATTATTATTATTATTATTATTATTATTATTATTATTATTATTATTATTATTATTATTATTATTATTATTATTATTATTATAAACTACATGTGATGACACTTATAAAACATATTATCATAAATCGTACATCGACAATAGAAATATCATAACAAACCTGATGTGTATTTTTTAAGTGCAGTGGGTATTTTATACATCTTTAAAGCACTTTGTGGCCTACTTGTTTTTGAAAAGTGATATAAATAAAGGAAATCATAGAGTATGATTTTAAACAATCAGAGTTCCCATAAGGAATGACTGAGGATAAGACCATGAGTTTCAGAATGAGAGGAAACAGATATATCTATAAATCACCATTGAAGGCATTAATCACGCTATCAGTTATAATAATGAATATAGGAGAAGACGGTTCTGGGTGAGGGTTTATAAAATGGCTAATAATGATCATGTTTAATGCAGTAGTGGGAGGAACACACACAAATACTAAATGCCCAAAAGCGCCACCAAGTGGTGTCCAACTTTGATGATGAAGTAAAAAGATCCTTTTACAAATCTGCGGAGACTGTGGTATGACCGGAGCTCTTCATTCTCCTCAGCTGTGGATTTTTAGTAAAGTTATTTTTAATCGTATGTTAATAGTAAACTTTCTCTGGATTATAACTTTTTATCTTTTCTGTTGGACCCTCGGATCTGATCCAACCTGCGCGTAATTTCTAGTTTTTCCCCCAGAAGTGTTATCTTTGTGTTTCTGACATGCTACTCCGCTTTGTTGCTGTGTTCAGTTTATACGTCACAGGTGAGTCGGAACAATAAAGAAAGTGTTGAAATGTATTTAGCAGACCTTTAGTAGCCTTCAACTTTGGGGTAGTCTACTTGTAGCTACTTTACGTAATATCATTTTCAATTTTTTTATACTTTTTACTTCAGATTTGTTTTTTAACAAAATCTCTACATTTGTTTGGCAGCTTTTGTTACATTGCAGATTACAGTTTTCCATCCACTTCCCAAACAGTAGGCTATATAAACAAGTACAAATGAGCCAAACCTTAAATAATCCAAACACATCTATAATAGTTAAACTATATCAGGAATCATTTTACTGAACAAGAACCTATATATTTTTTTATTTTGTATGTAAATGTTGCTAATTAAACGTAGGCTACATGCTTTTAAGCAAGCTTTTGAATGCAGGACTTCCACTACAGCGGATATTAGTTTAAGTTCACTTAAATTCAAGAATCTGAATACTTTGTCCAAAACTGTACAAAGGTTACACAATTGTGAATTTAGAATAACATATTTGTCTATTTAATTTAAGCCAGACAATAGCTGCACACATACTCTTTGTTAGTTTTCACTAAAAGTTTAATATCGTTAAAGCTTTCTCGTTTCACTCAAACTTCCAATCCCCTGAAGAAGGGAAATGCCTTTATATCAGCCGCAAAAACAACTGTATTAGATGCAGATGTGGTGCGTTTCTGAGGAGACAGTCTGAATGCAGATGGAGCCCACTCCTCTCTTCAGGAATGAGGATCTGAAAGAGTGCAGCAGTCTGAATGAACTTGTAGTTTAGCTGCCTCTCTCTGCAGGAGCCCCTCTGCTTTGCTGACCAAGCAGTTTAATTACAGCTCGGCTCCAATCACTGCAAGTTAATTACTGAGGAGTCCCCCTCTGGGGCAAGTGGGCTGAAGCTTTCATTAATCCTGCAGACCTGAGATTCACCCTGAAGCTCAGAAGCTAATGCAGAGTGATGAAAAGGAAGCTAGTCACCTTTGTCATTAGAGAAAAATGAAGCCTGCATTTGTCAAACTGCTCACCTTTCTCTGCTTCCTCATCATCACTCTGTGTACAGCTGCATGTCTCTGCAGTGAACTCAGCACTGTGAGCAGGGCATGGTGCATCGTGGGTGTCAGTATTCATCACTTGTTTGGATCCTTTACTTGAGTGAAAGTACCAATGTTTCAATGTAGAAACACAACATCGCAAGTAAAAGTCGTGTACAAACTCACATGTAGTCCTAATTGTTCCTCAAGGTGGCCCATGTGACATATGATCAGATATTACATTTTTTTTAAAGGATGCATCAATACAAAATCAGCTAGTTTTAATTGTATTATGCTCACTTGTAGTGAGGTTTCAGTAGTAACGGTTTACATAATTGGGATTTTGTAATCAGCTAACAATAAATCAGTATCAAGGTTCAAGGTCAAGGTTTTTTTATTTTGTCATAAGAACATAGTGTAGCTATGACGATGAAAATCTTAGGTCACAGGCTCCTCCAACAGTGCAATAATCAACCACGATTACATCTAAATACATTTAGTTACAGTATCAAGGATGATTTAATTACAACTTCTAAATATGGTATTTATTGAGATAATAAACGCTAGCAGTATTTATGTTTTATTCTGAAATAGTGGAGTACAGTAGAAAGTATAGCTTGAAATGGTCAAGAGAAGTACTAGTACCTCAATTATACAGTATTTGAGTTCATGCTTGGTTCCTTTTCAGCCCTGCAGTGTTTTTACCTGTAGCTAAAAATGCAGACATTTTATTGCCAAAAGCATGATGATGCATGTTTCCTGAAGTAATGTCTCTTATTCAGCCCCGCGGTGCAGACTGGTGATCTAAGCATTTTTATTTTCTTCTGACTAACTCCCTGTGAAGGGGAAATGGGAAATATTGGTCTGGGGAAGTGTTACTGAGAACTGGAACATCACGCTCATTATGAGAAGAAAACGCTGACGATACGCTTTATCCACACACAGCTGGAACAATCTGAAACAGCTTTTAGAGCAGAGAACGTGTAATGTGATGCGTTATTGTTGTGTTAAAGTGAAGCAAAGGAAGCAGAACATGCCTTGGGGTGGAGGAGGTTTAAAGGCTGGAAAGTTTGGCACTCAGCTCAGCTGTAAACATGGAGTCCTTCTTGAGATTGCTGCTGAGAACAGGATAACAGTAAAACTGATTCATTATGCAGAAAGACAACATTCAGAATGAAAGCCAAAGTACAGTTCACACACACCGCTGATTACGGCTGCATGAGAAGAGATGAGTAAGAGGGAAGTGCGTAATGAAAACAAGCTGTTTGTGCAGAGTTTTGATGAACGTTTTGTCTATTTAAAATGCAGGAATACCCTGCATCTTTCATTCTAACATATTTTCTCTGCACTCATATCTACATCCCTACATTCATGTCTGTCATTTCAAGAAAACAGCAACACATTTAACAAACGTTTTCTAAGCTCTCAGGTTTAAATCCCTCAGGAGTTCCTGTTAGCATCACTGATTGCAAATCCAGGTGTCGGATGGGAATGTTACTGAGCTTGTGTCAAAGGAAACCTGAGCAGCAGTGAAAGAGATTGTGTGCAGATAATCATGAGAATCACATAAATGCTGATGTTTGATGTTTGTTTTCTCAGCTGGCTCTGGGACCATAGAGTATGACAGCTCCAATGACTTTGTAGAAGAAGATTATGGTCCTCAACTAGACTACAAAGGTTGGTGTTAAGAAACACAATATGTTGTATATCTATACAGTACTCTCGACCATGACTGATTTTGCCATTACTATGTACATGGTTGCTCTGGTATCCTTTTTCATTTCATTTAATCGTTTATTTGAATAGGGACAATGCACATTAATGAACACTTTAGACAAATAATGCTTCAAGTGTAAATATGCCGGATTTTAGCTTTGAGCTAATTTCCATCCGTAGTCCCTGACATACAACATATAAGAACATGACATTTGTAAACATAGCAAAAAATAAATACATGATTAATTAATTTAATGTATAATTAAAGAATGAAGAAAAATCTCAATGAATTGAAGTGAATTGGGGCTTTGTTTAACATCAGCAAATGTATAGCCAAACATTAACTCTCACACAACTCTCAACACTAACATTATAACAACACATGCATTTTGGCTAAATTGTTAATATTTCAAACACTCCCAAATAATCAACCCTCTGACGAGTATGAGACTGTTCATGGCAAAGTGTTTCTGAAGATTTCAGTGGAAATGCATGTGTTTGGGAAGCTGTGAGCAAATGACTGCCATAATTGTGTTAGAGTTGGGCCAATGCTAAACGTGGCCTCAATTAACTTCAATTCATGAAGAATTTTCTCAATTTTCCTCAAGAATTAAAGGTAACATTGGATTAATAATTGATATACAAATATTTATTTTGAGGGTGAAGCAAGATAGAAAATAGTTTTTTTGTCACATGTGTTTCAACCAAAAAACATTAACTTTATTCAGTGCTACTCATTTGTATAAACACCATCACAAATGGTATTACTTCTACCCCTCTTGAGTCAATGTGTACACATGCTCATATTCTTATTGTAAAAGTAAAATAATAAAATATTGTGAGGAATAAGGGTAGAGATAAATATATGGAATATCTGACCCCCATTATAGACACAATTGCCAACCACAGATTGAACTTTAGTAACCTCAACTACAAGTGCTTAACACAATCTGGTTTGGATTTGTTTTCTCTTTATACACAGACCCTCACTGGTGTCATTCCCCGGGCCTCACTAACGGAGAGGTGACCTGCCACTCCCCCCGGGGGCGGGCCTACAGGAGCACGCTGGGCACTCGCTGTGAGATGAGCTGCGATCGAGGATACAGACTGATCGGGAAGAGCTCCATCACGTGCCTCCCCAGCCGGCGCTGGTCTGGGACCTCCTTCTGCCGCAGTATGTGGGAGTATAGACTTTACATTCTTATATGAGGATGAATCTGATGGTATTCTACATTCAATTAAATACAATCTATTGCACTGATTGACATATTCCCTGATTACCACAAACATGGGCACTGTATTTTATTCTGAGACTATACACCTTCCTGCTGCAGTAAAATATTCCTAATGCACATAATTCGTATTAATCCACTGCTAAAAATTGTCCCAAGCAAATGCACTATTAACTTCTGTTTGATTGAAATGTGCTAAAGATACAATAATCAGCTGTCTTTGGACATTCCTTTTCCTTTAAAAACAAACGCAAGTGCCAATTGGAAAAATACCAAAGATATTTTTGTGGGAAACCAAAACATTTATAAACATGTGGGTAGAAAAACTCTTGGTGAAAAAGGCATACTGAATTGTTTGAAACCTAAAACCCAAAGTTTAGGAATGATCAGTTATGACTCATGACTTGCAAAACAGTGACTTGTTGCCACCTCTGCCAGTCTCATTATTTAAGATACATTTAGATTCTGTTGTTTTTGTACCCTTACACTGTATGTATGTGCATTGATTCCCCTTCAGAGATGCGATGCCATGTGCTGCCCCTCATCCCCCACGGCAGGTACACCTGCTCCCACGGCTTCATGGTGGACTCCAGGTGTGACTTCACCTGTGACGCGGGCTATCGCATCGAGGAGCAACACTCCCGCACCTGTGAGCGCCGGGGGTCGTGGAGCGGAGGCCAGCCAAATTGTGAAGGTACATCATGGAGGTCTTTCTATCTACATGTAAATATAACCAGATGTGTGAACTCAAAAGTCTTAACTGAACTGTCAGCAAGAGGTTTAACTTATTGCCATCACATGGAGCTTAATTAAGGCCATCTGTGTTGCTATCAGAGGTGGAATGTAATGTATCAAAGTACATATAGGCTACTACGACTACGAGTATTGAAATCAAGTATGATTTGAGGTATTTGTACTTGAGTTTTCTTTTATTTCATTCTGTTTTCTAGAAAAAATGTTGATTATTATTTTTAAGTGAATATGTTCTGGATTTTGATTTTTTTTTAATTATGTTGAGTTTTCTTTTTACAGTTGGTTGGACAAAACAAACATTTTGAAGGTGTCACTTTGGGAAGTTTGAGCTATTGGTGAATGTTAGGGCATTTTTCACCTAACAAACTTAATCAATCAAGTAATGGAGAAAGAAATCAGCAGAATAATTTCTAATAAAGCTAAAAAATGAGCTCCACCAAGTACAATCTGGCTTTTATATTACTGCATGAGTAATAATAACCTAATGGTAAAATATATGATAATATAACACTCAAATGGGACATTTTTTATTAATAGTTTATTATATATATTTGTAATTGTACCTACATACTTGAGTAACATCTTCAATGCATGACTTTTACATGTATAAAGACTATTCTTAAAGTATGGTATGGAATACTTCTTCCACCACTGGTCTCTGGTCTGCTTTTTATTATTCTTTCACAATCCAGTGCGTGTGTGTTTAGCAGAAACACAACACGCACATTTCCTCTGTTCTCTGGACTGAATCCAGAGCTGCGGTCTGCTGTCTTTGAGTTGTCATATTCCGCTCTATCAGACTCTTACAGTTAGGGGGGGATTTCCTTTCTGGCAAAATGTAAATGCTGTAATTTCCCTATTGTTTATTCCAGATACTGACCCTCCAAAGATCAAATGTCCTCCGTCCAGACTCAAGGTTGCCGAGCCTGGAAAACTCACTGCCATGGTGGCCTGGGACCCGCCCAAAGCAACAGATACTGCTGATAAATCCCTTGAGTATGTTGCTCCTTTCCTTTGCCTCTCTTTCCTGTTCCTACTTATAATGGATTAAACTCTCCTCCGCCTCTCTGCAGTGTGATTCTTGTTGGCCAGGGGCCGCGCACCGACTTTAAAGAGGGATCGAGCATTATCCGATACAAAGTGTACGATCAAGCCAGGAACAGAGCCGCCTGCAAGTTTATTGTACGTGTTGAGGGTGAGTTGACTTATAGTGAGTTTAAATACTACTGAGACAATGTTCCCCTGGGCACAGACATGCAGAAGGCCCCACAACATCTTCTTTATAGGAGCAAGTCACACTACATTTGACTTTATCAATGTTCAGCCTCTTTCTATTGTGCTTTTGTGTGTCTTTGTAGTTGTATGTATCTTTTTGTGTGCCATTTTGTCAGTCTTTGTGTCCATTTCTCTTGCCTTTGTGATCGTTTTGCAGAATTGTTATATTGTTTCTTTGTGGTCATTTTTGTCCCTTTGCATCACTTAGTAGTTGTGTTGCGTGTATTTGTGGTTGCTCTGTGTCTCTTAATTGTCCTTTTGAGTCTCTCTGCGGTTTCATGTCTCGTTACAGCTGTTTTACATCTTTTGATAGTTGTTTAATGTTTCATTATGGACATATTGAGTCTCTATGTAGTTGGGATGTGTATCATATTGTAGGTAGACTCTTGGGGGACCCTGATCCTTGAAACCCCCTGAGCCTTGGCCCAATAGGCATGTTCGGTAATGAAAAGAGAGCATTATACCTGGATGACACATTTGATTTCTTATTTCCACTTTGTCCTCCCTATAGTGAGAAGATGCCCAACTCTACCTCCACCTCTGCAAGGCTTCCTCACCTGCTCCTCTGATGGGAATAACTACGGTGCAACATGTGAATATCACTGTGAAGGGGGATATGAGAGGAGGGGCGTCTCTTCTCGTGTCTGCCTGTTCGACCGCAGCTGGGCAGGAGACCCGGCCGAGTGTGTTCGTGAGTCCGCATTAAAGTTGCATATCAGTTTTGCGGCAAAAACATAATAGGACACATATAGAAGAAGGTGCATGATGCATTTGTGACTTGTGTGTTTGCAGCAATGGAGATTAAATCAGATGTAAAGACTGTATCCGCTCTCCTGCAACAGTTTTATGAAAAGAAGAGGCTGCTGATCATGTCTGCTCCAAACATAACTGACCCAGACTACCAGCTGCAGAACATCATGATACAGGTGAGCAAATGTGTGGCTGCTGGTCTTAATAAGGACATTTAAACAAAATAACTCAAAAATGTTCTTGTTTCAAACAGAAAGCAGACTGTGGATTAGACCTGAGACGTGTTACCGTCATCAAACTCCTGGGCTCCCCGCCTCGTGAGACCGGTCACATCAAAGAAAGTCTGCTCAGCTCTGAAGCCATCGAGGGTCTGAGGTGACAGTGAGACTACTTACTGCTTAGTTATTCAGCCGTTTGATTGGTCATGGGGAAAAGTGTTTATTTAGCTGAAATAACTCCCATTTCCATTAACGTTAAGAAGGTGTATCTTATTACTCTATTTAAATGTCAGGAGCCTCCTAATAAAAGGGATTCTGTATGGGGAAAAAAATCCACTTTAAGGATCAGCACTGTTTAAAATGGCCAGATAATAACACCAGGGTAGCCGTAATGGGATTTTGACAACACTGAGGAATGATGATCAATGGTAAACAGGACCATCTCGCTATAGTTTTCATGAGGATCTGTGAGTTAGACATTACTTTGCAGCAGGCTCCAACATGCAGGCACTAGTTCACCTTAGAAGAGGCAGAGATATAGATTTTTCCACCAACTGTGTAATTTGAGTTGGGGGCACTGCTGCTCACTTTTTCCAGACTGGAAAATCTCTTCAGTCTCTCTGACACACAGCAGAGTGAGAGCAGCGTATTAAAGGCACATTCTTTGAGTGTAATGCAAAGCACTCTGGGAAATGTGGGCATCACTAAAGGTAGAAATACGGATGGAAATATATTATATACTGATTTCACTGTTGGCCATGCCTTAAAATATCACATTATTTTTAACTATAAAGGTTCAGCTACAGTGAGTGTTTCTGTCTTAATAATCATTTATAAGAGTGAGTTTTTATTGTGATTGTATTCTTATTTTGTACCTTATTATTTCAGTTTTAAAAGGCAGCAACTGTTAAAAATACTATCAAGTATCAATAAGCTTTAGTCTTATATCATGTATATCATGGGTCTTTTACAGGGGGTCCTCATAGTTACTGCAAGGGGTCGGCCAAATGATTGCTTAAATATTAAAATATGGATTTACAGTAACATGAATCCAACTTTTAGCAAAATATTTGTCCCGTTCTTTAAAAAGAAACCTATACCCATTTCATTTGCACAACATTGATGATGTTTAACCGTGCAGCACCTATTTAGCTACTTAAATAAAAAGGGGAACAATGCTCTCTCCACCTATAGTTGTACGTTTGGAATATTTTGGTTGAATCAACAAAGTAAGATGTCATATTTCTTGCTCAGTACTGATGTACTGGAGGCGTGTGGTGCAGTGGGTTGTGCGTTGGTGTTAGGATCAGGGGGTCACAGGTTCAAACCCCACTGCAGTCAGCATGTCATTGTGTCCCTGAGACACTTCACCCCAAATTGCTCCTGTGGGGATTGCCCACAGTATTGAGTATGTAAGTCGCTTTGGATAAAAGCGTCTAACAAGTGACATGTAATGTAATGTGGGTTATGTACAGTTATATAGAAGGTCAAAATAATCCTGGGCTCTCCTAGATAAAGGGTTTTAATAATCTACTTTGTCTCCTGCAGACAATTGTTCAGGATCTCCAGGTCGTACTTCAGCATGTTGCTGCTGGACGAGCTGGGAATGGACCGGGAGCGCTTCATCTACCCGATGGCGTCGGACGAGCTGTTCTCCTACATCGACAGCTTCATGCTGGAGGAAGAGGAGCGAGAGAGGCTGGAGCTCCACAGGGACTTCTGCGACTAATCAAATAAACCTCTCCTGTTGCCACAGCGATAAACTCATCAGCATTACTAAACGCAAGATGAGGAAGGACAAACAGCCCAAAACCAGGTCCAGAGGGACATAAGGGGGGCGGGGGGGGGGATGTGATCACCAAACAACACTGAAGTGCTAGCACTGTGTTCTCTCTCTAATCATCTGAAAGGCACAGAGGCCAGCAAATGGAGACAGAAGATACAGACAAGCTCGAGAAAAGCTCATTTAAATAAAATGGAAACATAAATTTAGGTGAGATATGTGATTTGGTTTAGTATGTTTGTAAAGTACCACCTGTTCTGATGTGAAATTGAAAGAGAACTGTAAACACACACATCTTAAAAAGCCTATTCAACTAACGTGGACAGGTTATTTAAATCCAGCTGGTATGGACGATTAAGCATGTCTTGGTTTTTAACATTTTTTATTAGATGAACAGAATATTATTGGAAACCTTGAGGTAAACACAACTCTGATCACATACAGTTAAAATATGAATACCTACTTTTATTTCTGCAAATAAAGAGATTTAATAATTTCAAATAAAGATTTTTGTGCAACTTATAAAGATAATAATACAATTTGTTGGATGCAACACCAGAGATTTTGTAGTTTATAATGACTTGTTTTCCCACGTGTCAGTATAATTATGTACACAATTATTAAGAAAAAAGGTGATACTAGTTCTGTGCTAAGTGCTTAAAAGTGTGCGTGAATTTGAAATGCAGTAAATATACATTCTGAATTTTAAAAAAATATATAAAATGTGTCCTTGCTCTTAAATTGAACCCAGAGTTTGTGATGTTTTGGCACATTTTCTAAAGTTACACCAGTCTGCAGTCAGGGGGCGGAGCTAAACACGAACCCCACAGGGAGGCAGATGTTCAGCAGGAAGTGTGTGTTAGTCACTTCAGGAGACGCCTCTGCGCTGACAAACTTGCAAAATATAAAAAATCCATAATCTCATACGTGTCTCAGACCTCGCAGTTTTTTACATTTCAGTCTCTTTTGGTGCCGTCCTCATTTGGCCTTCACCATGGTGGAGCGCAGGGGAAGAGTGCCCTCTGCCCACGAGTCGGGGTACTTCATCATCTTCTCCCACAGACTCACTTCCTCTCCCAAAGAGTCCATTTCCACTTCTGCTTTTCCAATTTTCACTGTGCCTGCAGGAGGGAAGATTACATGAAGGCAATCATGAGATTTACGGGTGGCAAAAATGAGTCTTTTTTAAATTAATAATGGCAAATTCCTTTTTCACACTGAACTTTCCCACATAGAAGCTTTAGAAATAATCTTGAAATTAAGCGTCTCTTTGTCAAAAAGGTTATTATTATTTGACAATAAAACCTATTAAACTAGAAGAGTAGATATAGTATGACTTTCTATTTGATATGAGGATTCATTTAATTTTCCTTCACGCAAGTTATTAAGGAAGGGGGTAGGAGTAAAAGAGGGTACCTAAACCAAACAATTACTACAAAAAATGTTTTCATTCTTGATTCCTCTCCTCTCGTCTTAGACCCTCCAACCTGAGATGTGAGGAGGAGGCGAGGTAGAGGCGCAAGGGAAGGGAGCGGAGGAAACAGGCGTTTAACAAAATGAGACATCTGTTCCTCTGAGCCGCCATTTAAAAAGCATAGTCAAGTAAAACATTAAGTGTTCATTGTTATGTAATAGCCTAGTGCTGTATGTTATGATGTTTCTGTTCATGACACCTTATACATTTATTTTTAATTCAAATACCCAAAACAAAACGTTGAAAGGGTCCTGTGCATCCTCGCTAATAGCACTCTCCTAGCTCACTCTTTCCGGTTTAAGGAGAGAGGAGACAAGGAGACACAAAATAGATAGATAAAAGAGTAGATTCCTAAATCTAGACCACTAACCCTGACAGCTTTGGTGCCATTAACAAAGAGCAATGCTCACAGAAGAGCAATTGTTTAAACGACACACAAAAGAAGATATAAGATAAATATATAAAAAACTAAAAAACTTGTACTTATATTGAATGAATTGTATATTTGACCTGTTCCCGAGCTGAGGCGGAGTCCTCCCAGGAACTCGTTGCTCCCCATGGCCTCTCTGTCCCACACTGTGAGCTCCAGACACATCTCCTGCAGCTGCTCCAGAGCCACATCCTTGTACACAAACGTGTGGTCGTAGCTGGGGTTCAGGTTCTTCTTCACCACCGGAGTCTTCTTCTTTGTGTTCTTTGCCTTCGTTGGGAACAAATAACTGCAGGACCACAAAAAGAGAGTGAGTCTTGAACAGAGAAGATGCTTTTATGTGAATGCAAAATGTCCTTTTAAGACTGGAAAGTTGATCACTTACCCTTTTACGAAGCTATCGGAGGTGCCTCCTGGCTTCATTGCCATCAAGTTATTTGCCTCTTTGATAAGGACATGCAGCTCTCCACTTCCCCCGACCTCTGCCTTTTTGCCTGAGGAGAAGATAGACACACACTCTTAGAAGTTAAGTCAGAGTGAATGTAACTCAGCCAGAGCTTCTTATCATCGTCTTACCTTTTTTCCCAGAGGTTGGCTTTTCAGGTGTGACATACTTCAAGGAGATCACCAGCTCTCCTTTGTACTGAGCAAAAGCTGAAGCTGGTGCAGCAGAGGCTGACTGTTGGAGAGTAGGTTTTATAGTCAGGACACAAGAAACCCAAGTAACAGTACAGCAAACATGGAGGCCTCATGTCACACTGGTGGCAGAGGCTGATGTCAATGTTTACAAAAAACAAACACATTAACAATATATCAGCTGATAAACACTTAGACTCATAGACAGCAATCCCCCCTCTTCTGTTCAAGGTAAAGACTCTTCAGCTTGATGAAATATATAACAGACTCTCACTTTCCAAATGATCTCAAATACAGTCTACTGCTGTGTTTATTGTATTTTTGTAACTCTGGCACAACCTTTTCCTTCGGGATAAATAAAGTCTTATCTTATCTTACATTGACCCCCACAGTAAACAGGTGAGGCTCTGCTTCTCACAGCCAATCTGCAACTTGCTTTGCTCTAATTGATATTTAAAACTGGAACTGCAGTTTTAACCTCCAGTAGTGCTATAGAGGAATATTATATTCGTTTGATCTAGTGCACGTGCACGGAGGTGACGTGTTTCACATTCCTGCAGAAGGTTTCCCCCTCTTCCTCTGATCTACAGGTCACAGCAAAGCACTGTGAAACACATCAAAGAGCAGGCAGAGACAGGCGAGCAGAGTGCTAGTAGCCAGTGAGTATATACAAACAATTAGGTTTTTTTTTCTTCTACAAAAAAGTGCAGATTTATTATGAAAAAGGAAAAGTTTTCAACAAGTTTGTAGACCACAGGATAAATACTAATCGTACAAAATAATGAATTTAAACAGAAAATAGATTTACAAGAAAGTACCACACAAAAAATAATTCAAATAATTTCTTTACACTGTGTAACGCACATTACGGATTAATAGATATGAATGCATAAGAAGACATCCAACACAAGAGGTATACTTGGACATTTTAACGTCTTTAAGGCTGCTCTTTAGTACGATACATGTATGTGTACTAACGTATAGTCTACAGGCAGCAATGCAATGTTTCAAAATTAGCCTTAGGAAGGAAAGGTATTCATCACATTGTTTGGACACTGGAGATTTACATAATTCAATAAAGGTGCCATCTTAAGAATTCTTAACAGTTCTACATCCAGTGTCTCTGATCTACCTTCGCCATGAGAGCCACGTTCTCCTCGTGCGGGGAGTCGAGGTCTCGGCTGTCCAGAGGGATCTCCACCTCTCCCAGGAAGGCGTTGCGGCTCAGGCGTCCGTGATGCCAGACGGATATCAACATGGAGCGGGTGAACAGCTGAGAGCGGCTGATGGAGTACTGACAGTGGGAGAAGAACGAATCAAAAGTTGATCTTAATTTTTAAAACCTATTTTTATTTTAGTGCTCTGGTGCTGAAGGGAGTTCTAAATAAAACATGGGACATGAATTAATCAAAATGAATTCAGATTTGATCAGAAGTTGCATCTGAAATCTTCCTAATATTTCCCTTCACTCTAATGAGCAAATCCTAAATTACAGATGAATAATACTACGAATGGTTTTATCCAGCTTTCCTTTCTGAAGCATTGTTTGCTACTGTATTTAAGCTGATTCTACATTGGACCAAAATCTATATTTGACAACTATTCTAATCTGCAATGTCAATATCAATCTTAAAGTCTCTGTAGGTGTGGTCATTATTTGCAGCATGCGAGGCACAAGGTCACTAATCAGGGAGTGCCATTAAGTCAACAGGAGAAGGTCAACACTTATAAACCCTCACCTTCAGCGTTTCGTTGTAGACCGGGTCCACCGTGTTCCTCTTGATGCTGGTTTTCTTTTTGCTCTGGCGAGATTTGTCAGGCAGTAGATAACATTTAACATAACTGAAACACAAAGACAGAAGGAATGCTTAAAGTAGTTTCTCACAGAGATGTCTACCGCTTCTCTGCTGCATTTCTTTTAAATATATTTTTTTGGTTTATTTGGCCGTTTTTAACTCGTACAACTTAAATACAGATCTCTATATTTGAGAGCATGTGAGTCAATACATGATATGTTAGTTCATGAGAATCAGCTCTGTATACAACTGAATACATTCTCTGGAAAATATCTGTTGACATTGAATTTCCTGTGAAGTTCAAGCAATCACCAATAGGATGTGATAATCAAGACTTTTGTAAACACAGCAGCTTCTTATCCACACGGATCAAAGTTGTGCTAACAGCACTAAGTGGGGTGTGTGCAGTACACATCTGTTACTGTGTCATAGCCACAATATGCAGTATGAAGGCCAACATTTAAATTATGTGAATTACGCTTGGAGAAAGAAAAAAGTTTATTAATAATTACGGATGGGAAAGCTGGCCCGAGGCATTGCCGTAGGCCAGCCCGTGGCACTCCTTGATGAAGACATGGAGGCTCTGGGTGGGCTCGTTGTAGCTCATAGAGAAGACCAGGTCTCCGCTCACTTCCACACTGTCAAAGTCTCCTGCTTCACTGTAAATACTCATCAGGCTGCCCAGCGTGCTCTGGAGGAACATACAGACACCTGAGCTGAAAACTCATCATCAGCCATTTCTGTATCATTATTCACAAATTCTGACTTTAAAAGGATAGTTTGGTTGCTTTGGAGTGGAATTGTATGACTTAATTATCCATATTCATAGTACTTACTATAGGAGAAACAGACATGTGTAACAGCATGGAAATTAAGGAATGTACTGCGGTGCTCGGAGACATATTTTAAACACCAAAATTAAAAGATAAGTTAAATTAAGTGTACACAATATGTAAATTATTATACTGCTTTTCCTTGCGGTCAGATAGTAATTTCTGTTATCTCTGCTATCTTCAAAGCCACCCACTGACACAAATATGTTTCAGATGGCTAAAATAGTTTGGCTCAGGCTCTTGTGTACAGCAATACATTGCTTAGCTTTCGTGATGTAATTCCTGCCTGGTCTCAGCTGGGTGTGCCAGCTGCCATCTACAGTTATTATGGATAATTAACCCACCCATCCGAACTATTATTAAATACAAAATAGCGCCATTAAGATTATGTTCTAGAAGACACCATCTGATTGCTTTGTGATGAAGGTGCAGATCAGATTTCACAATAAAGAAAACTAAGAAATTACCTAACACAAAACTGCTGAGTTGCAACAGAAAGGGACAAAGAAATTAGCAAAGATCAGAATGTTTCTGTCAATAACTAAATCCAGAGTGACAGTCACTGTTGTGTCCCCTGAAGCTTTGGTAAGTTTATAAACATCAAGGACTTTTCATATCAGTTTCACACTTGCTGGAGGATATCCTGACTGAGGTCAAAGATGCTCGTTCAGATTATCTAACATCAGTTCCGTTGTGAGAGACATAATGAGCTGCGTTCCGAAGATTAATCTTTTGGTGTACTAATGTGAGCTAAG